TCTGCAGTTCATCCAGAGTGATCATGGGCCTCTTGGCTGCATCTCTGATCAGTCTTCTCCTTGTTTGAGATTAAAGTTTGGAGGGACGGCCGGGTCTTGGTTGATTTGCAGTGGTCTGATACTCCTTCCATCTCCTTGAGATGTTTAAAGCTTGGGAAATCTTTTTGTATCCCAATCCGGCTTTAAACTTCTCCACAACAGTATCTTGGACCTGCCTGGTGTGTTCCTTTGTCTTCATGGTTCTGAAGACAAAGGAACCCTGAGACTATCAAAGAGCAGGTGCATTTATATTATTATTATTATTATATTATTATTATATTAATATAATATTTATATTTATTTATACTGAGACTTGATTACACACAGGTGCATTCTATTTATCATCATCAGTCATTTAGGACAACATTGGATCATTCAAAGATCCTCACTGAACTTCTGGAGTGAGTTTGCTTCACTGAAAGTAAAGGGGCCGAATAATATTGCACGCCCCATTTTTCAGTTTTTTATTTGTTAAAAAAGTTTGAATTATCCAATACATTTCGTTCCACTTCACGATTGTGTGAACTTGTTGTTGATTCATGACAAAAAATTAAAATTGCATATCTTTATGTTTGAAGTTTGAAATGTGGCGAAATGTTGAGAGGTTCAAGGGGGCCGAATACTTTCGCAAGGACCTGTATGTGTGGATATTAAATGTGTGGATATTCAAAAATACTAACATCTTTCCATAAACGTACATTTATTTCGTGAGTCTATAACAAACAATCATAGGGCCAATTATTCTTTGTTATTTTTGATCAGTTACTGTACGTGTTGCATTGATTGATAAAAAAAATATATATATATATACACAGAGGTCCCCTGTTTATGGTGTGGATGCAATTAGTGAAATCCATGAAGTAACAGTTTGTGTTAATGTTTTAAGGTTGTAAAGAACCCCACCACACACTTTATACACTTTTCTAACCACCTGAACTCATGACTCTGAAGTGCAATCGCAGAGGAGCAGGACTGAGGCTACGGGAAGACCGCAGTTGTCCTCTGAACTAATCACTGCGGTGCACACAATCCACAAGTGTTTTATCTATTATTACTTTATATAAATGTAACTGACATGTTACACTAGCGGTTATATGATGTTGTATATGATTAGAAGGACACTGTAAAAAAGAACACAGCATACACACACAATAATCGGCGAAACTGTGAGGCAGCGGATTGAGAAGCACAATTTAGCGGGAGACCACTGAACTTTGTAAACACATATTCATTTTGTAGTGATTATAGAAAGTCATCAAACTCAGCATGTTTAATTCCCAAAACGATTTCAATTCAAAATTAAATGGATGCTAAAGATATGAATACTTTTGTGTGAATACAGAGCAAACACAGCCCGGATGAAAAAGGGTAGTGCCTCTTGTGGTGCTCATTATCAGCTGTAATTGCCTCTTTAAATACACCAGGTTGTTTTCCAGATGGGTCCAGCCTCCTTCCTGTTCGCTTCATCAAAACCTGAGCAAGACCAAAGCTGCGCTCAGGTGACGCACACTTGATCATTTATCACTGCCAAAACACGAAAGTTACCAGAAGCACGGCTCTCGAGGACCTCAGAAAGTTTACTATTTACTAAAGTGTGGTCAATGTAGAACTGTGTCTACTTGCGCAAACTGTTCACCATCCTGAGCTATGATAATAACTGGATAGGGTAGTACTAGCTTACATCTGAAACACTCATGGGATTGGGGGCTTCCTGCAGTACTATAGACTAAAAATGGCTAAATTCATGTCGACTACCCAAACATTTTCCCCATAGAACTCAATGTAAACTAAAACAGCTCGCTCTCAGCTGACAGTTTTCATAAAGATCGGATTTTGTGGGGATTTTAGTGTGCCCTGAACTATTTTTCTTCTATAAATCCACACTTTAGTGCAACAAACTCTGCTTGTTTTCCTCATGCTCTAGCTCTGCTCTGATCAGCCGCACCTGATTGGTAAGTATTGGGGACCAGAGAAAATCCCAAACATGGGTTCCACTAATCATTCAGTGCCCATGGTAGCTTCATGCTCTCTGAGTACAAGTGATTGATTTGAATACGCCGCTATCTTTGGTAACCGGGGCTTGGGCGACAATAGTGAATTCAGCGTACAAAGTAGTATGCAAACTATGCAACTATTAACGGCTCGCACCATGGACGTCCTATGGCGGAAGTGGCACGTTCTGGTCAGTTCTGGTTCTCCTGGTCTTGTGCAGTAGCTGTGCACTGGTGCTACTTCAGCAGGACCAGAAGGACATGTGAGAGTTCTGACCAATCAGAGCTCACCAGGGATGGCAAGGGTGCGAATCAAGTTTGTTAGATGACAACAAACTTGACCCGTGTGGAGGTGTGGATTTATAGAAAACCAATGTATTTCAGAGGAAAAAAGTGAAAAGGGACACTAAAATCTGCACAAAACCCAAGCTTTGTGAGAGCTGGAGGTTCCCTGTCAGCAGAGGACAAACTGTTTTAGTTATTTTACATTGAGGTCTTTGGGGAAATGGTCCATGTGGAGACAGGTTTAAGCAGCAATACCCAAAGCAGATACACATCCATGGGACTACAGCCAATGTTACCACTTTAATGGCATTTGCTTTTAACATGTCTAATGCTGGTTGAAGAGTGCCGCGAAAAAAACTAACAGGACTCTGCTGCTAGCATTAGCACCATTAGCTCGTTCGTTACACATACAAAACAGCTCATAAAAATTACACAATTAATCTAAATTACTATAAAAGGTACTCTCAAGTAAGGAGGTTTCAATTTGTGGCGTTTCTGGGCCAAATACAAACCTGTAAGTAAATAGAAAAGTTTCAGAGAGGAATGACTCAGCACTCGTTGCACTTCCAGATTGTGTCTGAGGGTCACGGCCAATTCGGCCCCCCCTACTACATCTGAGAATGACAACAGTTCCTATAATTCTTTCTCTGTACACACTAAATTTAAACTAAACTACCATTACTAAATACAATCTAATTATCTATAAATGATAAACAAATAGTTACACAAATATAAATTCAAACATTGCTGAAATAAGGCAAAACAATTGTGGTTACATATATTTTGGGTTTACCACAACAACATATCCGTTTTTTTACTATTTCCTTTAAACTAGTACTTGTGTTTGTTGAAAAATATGCAGAATCTCTATTTCATAATGATGATAACATGGTGAAAAAAAAAATCAAACCCAAAAACAACCACACAACGAGCAGCCAACCTCTTTGGCAGGCGACGCCAAACAAAACCTCTCATGTATAAAAATCACATCTGATTCTACTTCACAACACGTACTGTACATTTCCATATTCAAACTAGTTTATCCTGCATGTTTCACGCCCATCTCATCAGGTAAAATACATCTAATTGGTTTTTAGCTCCCAAAACATCACTAGCTTACACATGCATGCGTTTGGGCCACTGTCAAATATTAAGATCAGCTTTTTAAACCCCTGCAGTTCGCCTACAGAGCCAACAGATCTGTAGACGACGCCATTAACCTGGCCCTCCACCACATCCTACAGCACCTGGACTCCCCGGGGACCTACGCCAGGGTCCTGTTCGTGGACTTCAGCTCTGCCTTCAACACAATCCTGCCATCCCTGCTCCAGGACAAGCTCTCCCAGCTCGATTCCACCTGCAGGTAGATCACTGACTTCCTGACGGACAGGAAGCAGCGAGTGCGTCTGGGGAAGAATGTCTCGGACTCTCGGATTATAAATACAGGAGCCCCACAGGGCTGTGTTCTTTCTCCCCTGCTCTTCTCCCTGTACACCAACCACTGCACCTCCAGCCACGACTCCGTGAAGCTGATCAAGTTCGCGGACGACACCACCCTCATTGGACTCATCTCCAACAACGATGAGTCCGCCTACAGGAGGGAGGTGGACCGGCTGGTGTCCTGGTGCAGTGGTAACAACCTGGAGCTGAACGCCCAGAAGACAGTGGAGATGATTGTGGACTTCAGGAAGAGCACTGTCCCCCCGCCCCCACCCTCCGTGATGGACTCCCCCATCACCTCTGTGGAGTCCTTCCGTTTCCTGGGCACCACCATCACCCAGGACCTCAAGTGGGAGCCGACCATCAGCTCCCTCATCAAGAAGGCCCAGCAGAGGATGTACTTCCTGCGGCAGCTCAGGAAAGCCAAGCTGCCTGCACAGATGTTGGTGCAGTTCTACACGGCCATCATCGAGTCCATCCTCACCTCCTCCGTCACCGTGTGGTTCGCTGGAGCCACAGTCAGGGACAAACAGAGACTACAGCGTATTGTGCGCTCTGCAGAGGAAGTGATCGGCCGCAGCCTTCCATCGCTGCAGGACCTGTACGTCGCCCGAGCTCGAGGCCGGGCTGGTCGTATCACAGCCGACCCCTCTCACCCTGCACATGGACTATTCCAACCACTCCCCTCAGGCAGGAGGCTGCGGTCCATCAGGACTAGAACCTCCCGCCACAAGAACAGTTTCTTCCCCTCTGCTGTTGGACTCTTGAACACTTCTTAACCTGTCCCCCCGCCCTTTATAAAGTCACTTTACTGCCCATCATACGTCACTTTACTTCACTGTACTGCTGTCACCTTACATTGTGTGCACCATGTGCACTTGTATATTGTAAATAGTAACTGTAACTCTATTTTAAATTTAAATTTATTCTTAGAAGTGTTTTTTATTCTTATTTTTATTATCTCTTTTTGACTGTTGCACTGAGCCAAAGCAATTTCCAAGTCTGTGACCTCCTGTTACTTACGTTGGCAATAAAAATGATTCTGATTCTGATTCTGATTCTGATTAAAGACGGACAAGTGAATACCACCTGCACTCAAACAGACCGCTCTTAGCCCAAAGTGTCAAATAGTGACTCACAGGGCTTACTCTCACAATTAAAAAGTGTTTCCTAATAAGAAGCATGTTGTGGACTCATTTAATTTCAACCACAAAACGCATCTTTTTCAGCCAATCTAGGAAAAAACTACCGCAACATCTGAGTGGTGCTCCTGTCCTGTGGCTCGCAGACTCGTCTCCAAAGCTGAATCTGAGCTTTAGCTTCATAATCCGCAGCACTGAACAGAAGCAGGATTTACAGACCGTTTGGCTACAGTTTGGCGTACAGTGGTCCCTCGTTTATCGCAGGGTTATGTTCTAAAAATAACATGCAATAAGTGAAATCCGCAAAGTAGCAGGTCTATGTTTTAAAGCTGTGAAAATCCCTCACCACACACTTTATACACTTTTCTAACCACCTGAACTCACAACTGCTGAGGTTGGTTGTAGAACACCTGCAGTATATTTGAAACGCTGCAGCTCGAGTCCTGACTAGAACCAGGAAGTACGACCACATTAGTCCTGCTCTCAGGTCTCTGGCATCGCACCAAAATCTGTGACATGTTAGTGCCAAATGATCCAAGATTCAAGATTAATTTATTATGTCCTGTAGGAAATTTGTCTTGGACTCACAGGCTGCTACACAGAAAATACACATTAGACAGACATAAAACACAGCATAGTAACAAACTGGGACTTTGAGGAGCACAGGGACTGGCCTTCTGCTGGGACTCTGTGGAGCACAGGGACTGGCCTCCTGCTGGGACCCTGAGGAGCACAGGGACTGGCCTCCTGCTGGGACTCTGAGGAGCACAGGGACTGGCCACCTGCTGGGACTTTGAGGAGCACAGGGACTGGCCACCTGCTGGGACTTTGAGGAGCACAGGGACTGGCCTCCTGCTAGTGCCCAGAGTCAGAATTAAACCGAATTTAACTGCTAAATGCTGCTATATTCTGGAACAATCTTCCTGAAAGTGTAAGACAGGCTTCCTCTCTACAACTATGTTTAAATCTAGGTTAAAAACAGTTCTGTTTAGCTGTGCACAGAACTGCGGGATTTTATATTTTTATCTTTCTTTTTAATGAATATTTATGCTTTTAATGCCTTGGGTGACTGTCTCTACCTTGTTTTGTTCAGCACTTTGAGTTGCCTTGTGTATGAATTGTGCTATACAAATAAACTTCCCTTGCCGTGCCTTGTTGTATAGGTCCTAGTGCTGCTGCAGCTGTCAAAAGCCGTGCACACAAGCCACAAACATATTCTTCTAACTTTGAATAACGGTAACTGTCATATCATACAGGTATACACAATGAGAAGTACATTATAAAAAAAGCGCACAAATATGTACGCACAACAACAACAACAAAACCGTGAAACAGCGAAGCCGCGACAGGTGAACCGAAGAACTAACGGCCACTCACCAGTCGCAATGAACACAACACAACCTTATCATAAAAGTCTGTTTGGGCACATAATTTAATACGCCACTAAAAGAAGAAAAGCAGAAACCTCTCAAGAAATTACAAGACCTATTGATGGATGAAGTCTCTGAACGGTTTTTGATGACGCACAACCATCTGACATAAACTGACCTGATGGTGGCGCCGTTTCCTCTCTTTACGGTTGTTGGACGAGTGTTCCTCAGCTCACTGTTCATGGTTCTGTCTGAAAAACATTCAAAATATGTGTCTTTTACTCCAGAGTTTAAAGCAGAGAATCCTTGTCACTGGATTGAGGAAAGAAAAGACAAAAGTGTTTGGGTTGAAGATGAATTCTATTGCAATTTTGAGATTTTGAGACATCCAAGCAAATAATATTAAAAGTTGAAAACAAGATACAGCTGGACTTACTAGTTTAGAACATAGACTGTTTATCAGAAGTGGACGGACCAATCGCTGACATTACCCACAGTGTCGGCCCTGGTGTAGAAGAAGCTGATTTGAACATAAGCAAGTGGAACGATTTCCTTATATGGGCATTTCTTCCTCAAGAGTGGTGTGAACAAGCCGTCAATACTGTCAGGTACAAAAAAAATATACACCCCGGTCTTAAAAAGGAAGAATCTATTTGTAAAACCAGAAATGAAGGAGTGCTGCTTGGTCTCCATCCATCGCCATCGCCAAGCAACAAGGACCACCAGTGATCCACGCTACATCCTGGTTGCATAATTCACTCTCCACTGCACATATTTTGGCTTGTTAAAATGTACAATTCAAGCAAAGCTATAGTCACGATAGCCGATAATGCAGCTCCCATGCAGACTTGTTCAAATCCAGGTTAAAATGACAGTTTACCTGTGCATACAACTGAAGGATTTTATCTCTTAAACTACTTTTAATTTACTGTGAATATTTAGGATTTGAATGCTTTGTGGGATTGTTTCTATCTTGTTGAGCACTTTGGATCCTTGTGGATGATCTGTCCTATACAAATAAACTTGCCTTGCCTTGCTTTTAAGCCGGCCATCAATAATAATAATAAATAGGCTTTATATAGCACTTTTCAGGACCCTCAAAGACGCTTCACGTGTCATTATTCTTTCACTCCATACACAGGAGTGATAACTACTAGTGTAGCCACAGCTGCCCTGGGCACCGTCAGCCCGTCCAAACACCACCAACCATTTATACACACACCGGACTCATTC